AAAGTTACCTACTCTCTGTCTACGTAGAAACTTCAAAGGTAATTATTAACAGAATGAAGCCAAAAATCTATGAATTAGCTAAGTGAAAAGTAGGTTTCTAGATATAAGATTGAAAATAGTTGGGAATGCCTGATCATTCGTTAAGTATTTCTTACTGCTTAATATATACATAGTTATCTTACTAACTGTTAAATCTGTTAGGAATATCTCGATTGATTGTTAGACAAATAACTCACGTAGTTCTACCAAGAATATGAATATAAATTGATAAAAGTTAAGCAACCGCTGGCTTTTATATAATATAATCTATAGTGAGAGAGTTAAACTTTAAAGTCCACTATTGTATACTTTATAATATTTTTGATGTCTTTCTCTGAAGTAGACATACATCTATGAGATATATATTACATAACACGAAGTAGTACATTAGTCTAAAAATTTGTTTCCGAATGTCTTCTGAACGCTCATTCAGCAGGCAGATCTACTCTTTTACGAAATAAACTTAATTTCTTCTATCAATAACGAAGTAAACTTTGAAATTTTTCAATAATATCCCCAAATCTATAAAATGAAAAAAAAACCCGAATATTTGAGTTATAAAATAAATCAGCTGTTTTGTTTAATAGCAGAACAGTGTTAAATTGTAAACTTTTAAGCAGAAAATCTCATTAATACCGCAGAGGTACAAATGTTTTTTAAGAGTTATTAAAGCTTTAGACAAACAGTCGAGCAAAACTGGTTTTCAGTTCTTTCGTTATACTTCACGTCTCAACCCAACACAAGTAAAGTATTTAGATTTCACTTTACTTCCTGGATTTATTGACAACTTTTTTTTTTACTTAGCTGCTAAAAGGGACACTTAGATCTATATAAGAATCTGTAATTCAAACTACCAATATTTGCAGTTTGTTAAGGAGTATTTTGATTTATTTAATATAGACCCGGATATTTTAACTCTTTAATAAGAATAAAAAATCCGCCATTCTTGTAAAAGGCTGTCTTTGGAATCACAGGGCCACTGAAGGTTTCCTTTATTTAATATTTTACTAAGGCATCAAACAGGTATATTAGTCCAATAATAAAATATCTCGTTAAATAAAAAATCTACAAAAAAAAAGGTAAAGAAGCTTTAATGTCAAGGACCAATAGATCGATTCACTCAAAAAGCACCTTCACTGTGAGATGGCTGTTTCAAATTTTTAAAACCCAGAATGTATGAAAAACAAGAAAAAACGTTAACTTCGGCTTTACTGAAGCCATAATACCCTTTAAAGGTGCATTTTTTTTATAGCATATAAGGGTATAAAAAGATATTTATGCTGATTTTGATTGGTAAATTTGGATGGTAGCTAGAAACTACTGTGGTCCGATCAGAATAATATGTTCAGAAATCGTAGCAATGCCTTGGATAATAATCCTTGCCAAATTTCTTGAAGATACCTCGTCAAGTTAAAATTTTTCCAAAACAAGTATTTGCTTCCGATAGTTCAGTTTGTATGGCAGCTATATGCTATAGTTGTCCGATATCTCACGTATGAGCAGCTTTTAGCTGAGAAAAAGAAGTGTACAAAATTTCAGATCAATATGTTAAAAACTAAGAGATTAGTTCGTGTATATATAGACGATGAGACAGACGGATGGTCGGACAGTCGGCCAAGGCTAAATCGACTTAGCTCGTCAAGTTAATCAATTATACATATATTTTATATGGTCTCCGACGTTTTCTTTAGGGTGTTACAAACATCGTAACAAACCTAATATACCCTGTTCAGGGTATTATTAATGCGATGATTTTAACATTTAATATATATTTTAAATTAAAACATTATTAAAATATATATGAGGGCATGCTTTTTTTAAGCTGCATATATCGCATAACATGCACATGACGTGTTCAATATTTTTCGTTTTTAACTTGTACATTCCATTGCAGTTTTATCCACGTAATCCGTGTAGACACACAATTATTTTTGTTTCAAGTGCGCGTTGGCAAAGCGACAGACATTCTTATATGGACTAATGTAAATGTAAACATACATGCATACATATTATGTACATATTACGATATTCAAACAAAGAAAATACTGTAACGAAAATATCCTAGTATGAAAAGTGAACTCTATAACAAAATTATGGCGTACTCAGTTGCATTTATACCAGTTGCTTGTTCGATTTGTAACTCTCAAAGACTGAGAAATTGAAAAATATATATATGTAACTAGATACCTTAATGAAGTGGAGTAACCTTTTCCTCCCATAATTTAGTCTCTTAAATTTATGCGAGTTGTTTGTTCGATTCAGTACTCTCCAAAGTTTAACAAATCGAAGAAAATACTTACGGCACTCGACAAAGATATTACAATCTCTTTCTATTTTTCTCTACTCCAATTTTATTTCATTATACCAATTTCTTTAATTTCGGCCAGTTGTTTGTTCGCTACTCACCTGCAATTTTTAGCGAATCGAAAGAAATACGTAGATACCTCATTAAATTGAGCTAACCTCTTTCTACGCTATATCCATTTGTGTACTTGATTTATGTTAGTTATTAGTTCGATTCGCCACTTTCAAAAATTTGATGAACAAAAAACAGTCAGAATTTTCCGGATGGGTGCACGCACTTATTAAAATATATATGCATGTACACTACATATATTTATACCGTCGTGCAGCACGTGACTTGTTTGGCCAATTTTGGCTTTGTGTATTTGTTTTTGTAGCGCTGCAGCGAATGGTCAAATGATTTTGTTAGTCCGTCTATGTATTTGTGTGCGTGTACGCTTGCTTATTGTAGTATATTTGCTGCGGCGGTTTGCATTTATTTTGATCTGTTTCTTGTTTACTCTGCAATGTTTTTGCTTTTATTTTTGTACGTGTTTATAAGAATAGAATGAGTGCAATTTCATCTTCCCGCATTTTGCTGGGTAGCTTTGTTTCCCCCCGTGGCGACTTAGCGCGTGTTAATGGTATTTCTTGTGGTTGCAAGTGTGTGTGTGTGCATGTCTGTAAATATGTATATATGATTGTGTTGTTGTTGTTGATTATGCGCGTAAATTCTCATAGCTTTGCATGTTTAAAGACTATATCATGTATTTGCTGTTTGTAAATGTTGGAAAATAAAGAGTTCAGTGAGAATAATATACACAAAGGGTAAATGGAAAAATTTTATTAGAAAGAGTATTGCAATTCTTATTGGACATTTTTTCTTCCTTCATAACTTAATAAAATAAATCGATTTCAAGCGCTTTGGTATTCGACTTCGAATTTAATAAATATATTGTAATAGTTCTCCTGCTCCCCCTTTTTAGACCATTATTAAATGGTTACGTTAGTCTACAGCCCTCATAAAAGATATAGCTTTGACAGTTAATGCTGGAAATATGGAAATAATTGTAAACTTTATTAAACAACTATTTAAGTATTTCAAGAAATATATAGATATCTCAATATAAATTTAGGATCACCTTTTTTAAGAAGGCCGCTACGAGCGTTGATTTTCCCAAGAACTCATGTTATCTGAAAAAAACGGGGTTTTAATGTACATAAGACTTATGTTTTTCGCCTTATAAAAACTTTTTCGCAAAATGATGGTTTTGTAAAAAATTCAAAATTTTTCACCAAAAATTTTTTATAAAAATTAAAGTTAATATCAAAAAATCGATAAGAGTTAAGTGGATAATGTTACTGTGAAGCTCTAATTGAAATTTCAAGTGTACTTAAGACAGTCTCCAGTACCATCGTTGCCCCATTTCTGCAATTCAGTTTCGAGAAAAATGCGTTTAAAGTAAATGCTGAAAATGACTGACCCGAAGGCTTCGATACAGCAGCTGATTAAACTGGAAACACATTTTTTCGCTCTTCTACGAGTTGAATAATATTTTAGGACTACAAAGTGACCAGAAAAAATTCGAGTTTTGAAAATCCGAGACTGAGCTAACTCCTTAATTTAAATTATGGTTGAAGTATTTCTACTCCAGTACTAAATATTTCCGCTAGTTTCTGAAGTACTTGCAACATAGCTATATTGTACATTTTTTGGCTTTTTTAGTTGCTCCATACGATTATTTTTATACGCTAACAACAAAGGGAATAGTTTAGTTCACCTAACGGCTGTTTTTAAACGTCGTCCTTGGCAACCTTGGGGGGGAGGGTAATTTATCGAAAACATATAAAGAGCCATAACTAAGCTCCACAATAAGATACAATTGTAATTGGTTTAGAGTAGGGTATCTATGGTGGCCCTGCTCTCCTAAGCCATTCAAACTATACTAACCCAATTCGCTCAGGACAAATATTTATTACATTCCTACCCACCCTATGAAAATAGGTGAATTCGAATTACAACTTCGCCCACTCCCCATATAACGGTTTTGATAAAAGCTAATAAAAGTAGGATAAATCTTTAACTAAATGCATATATTTTACACCCGAAATCGTACAAAATAACTTTATAGGAGCCGATGTCAAATTTGAACGATGGGCGTGGCACCGCCCACATTTAGATGAAAACACATATCTTGGGGCCTACATTACCGATTTCAACCAAATTCAGTAGGTAATATTATCCTGATATTACAGTGCGAAAATCAGACAAAAGCCACGCCTACTTCCCATATAACTCAGTTTTCAATTCCATCTGGTTTTTTCACATTCTGGTAAGCAAATCAAGCACCAATGAATGTATCGGAACTTTGACCGAATAGTGCTATTAGAGAGTGCTATCTTAGACCAAAAATTGTCTAATTCGGAGCAAAACTACTCAAGCCCCCAGATACCGAATATGTTAACGCCAGTTCCCATTGCAAACTTTTCACCGAAAGTATCGGTCAACTTGTCAGTTATATTATTGAAATTCGAAAAGAATATGCTCCGGCTTTGATTCTTGCAAGTGGCGAGAATGTAAAGCTCTTCCTTACTTCTTTACTTTTAGCTTATAACTTTATTTATATATTTCAATTACTTTTAATTTGTATCTCATTTTTCTTTTTCTTCTTTTCCAGCTTATTTTGGAAATTTCGCATCGAAAACTTCGCCTCTACATCAGTAGCAGCTTTAACTGTAAACAATTTGACAGCACGACTATGGAAAAGGCCGCAATGTTCATTTGATATTCAATTGTGTGCTTTTTTCCAAACTGATTAGTGGTAAGTTTACGTTAAAGTTGAATTGGAAAGGAAATTTCAATTAATTTTTTTATTTTTTCATATTTCTAAGTTGCTTCCGCTAACTTCGAAGTAAAGTCCCTGCTTATAGATATATATTTAACCAATTACTTTCACTGCAAATTAAGTCGCTTACAGCGCACCTTTTGTGGGTCAACCGAACTTTGCTAATTCCGCAGACGTTTGGTAACTTATGTCTCAATTATTTTGCTAACTTTGGAGCATTTCGTTCTTATTGGCGCAACTGTGGCTTTATACTTGTAGGATGGCAGCGACGCATATTTTTACAAACGCTATATATTAGTGGAATATATGTATGTATGAAACTCATGAATCTTTGCTGGTAAAACACGTTTTCCTTACATTATCTCTACTTTGTTTGCTTCTACCCTGCGTCTCTCTCCCATACTGTCTTCAACTACGCGCATTGACCAAGAAATTACATAAAACCGCTCAATGCCATTTAATCAATTCAATACTTTAATTACGCATCTCTCAACTCGAGGTGCGCTGCCTTCACGCTCTGCTAGCAGAGGAGTTGTCACCCAACGTAGCGCCGGTCAGCTTCCTGTATTATCAACAGTTGTTGCTGAAATGCGAGAAGTGACTAAAGCAAAAAAAAAAAAAAGAAAAAAAGAAGAACAAGAATTGTTCAAGCAAAAACAACAGCATTAACATTGCCAAGCTCTATAAAAATATATTAACATAAAACGCGTTGTTGCAACATCGGCATGGTGGCAGCGCACAGTTAATCAACAAAGTTTTCAGAATTTAATTTCGTATTTTGCTGCTGCTGCCTCTTCCATCTGCCATTCGCTTTTGTTACATTCGCATTTTTTCGTTCACTCCTTCCGCAATTTAATTTCAGTTGCTCACTCGCGGCAGCGCATTATAAAGTGTTGCCTGCAAGTCTGCTGTCGAAATATATTTAATTTTTACAAAATTGATGCTTTACCTGTCATTTATGCAACCTTTATAATGTTTGTTATTGCTATTGTAATTTTTGCTGGCTGCTTTGAGCCTTTGCAAATGTTTGCTCGCGTTGCCTTGTTTACCATGGCCAATGAAATTCGCCGATTGCCGGTGTTTTTGCTGTTGCTCAATGCCATTTTTGCAACAAAACACATATTATTAATATATACATATGTATACATATATACATATATGCATACTAATATGCCTATATACATATGTACATACAAACATTGGGTATCCATTCCACTCAGCCCCGCAAATTTTGCTGTTCCTTTTCTACTCTGCTCTCTTCAGTATTCGCCTCTTTTGCATGCAGCATTTTACTCACAAAAAAATTTGAATTACTGTGTTGCTGTTGTTGCCTTACCTTTTGCGATTTTTGTTTTATTTTTGTATTTTGTTTGTGTTCACCCTTTATTATATCAATATGTGGTAGCTTCAAAAGCGTTCAACATACAAAAAGTCTCAGTCACTACTTTCATATATATATAAATGAAAACTCAAGTATAACTATGTGTGAGTGTAGGCTTGAGTACTCCTGAAACTTTGAGTGCTTATTTCGCAGAAAGCTTGAGCGTTTTTATTAAAAGCGCTATGTTTGAGTGCAAGCTTCTTTGAAAGCATTAGTTTTATTTGCTCTCAACTTGAGCAAATGGAATTTAACGTTTTACTTCGTAAAAGCTTCTTTGCATATTTTGCGCTGTGAGACGGAGAGTAAACTTCAATTTTCTTTACTTTTAATTAAATCGTAAAAGCATTCCTGGTAAGCAGTTCTGACAAGCGGATTTTCTGCCTTAAAGCTCTGATAACGCAATTCTTAACGAATAAATTTGCCGTGAATTAATTGCTTGATATTGAAGTGGCAATTAAGAGTCCTGTGGCAAAGAAACAAGTCTATTTGACAAAATCGAAAAGCTTTCGTTTTTTGACTATTGCAAAGCAAAGTTCGCCTTCGTATTCCTTAATGGGCGATATATAATTATAATATTCTTGCGTTGACTTTAAGCCAGCTGTTTAGTTGAATGCTTAACAGTAGGATGACATTGCTATGGAAGAGTTCAACGGACACGTTTTTAGTAAGCTTATATTATTATAATGCTTAAAGACTTAGGTCAGTTAAGTTATATTGTAAATAACTATTTGTTGGTTCAAGAAAGTTGTAAGGAAAAAGTTTTCTTAGCTATACTTAGTGAGGTGACAGATGATTCCATATGCCTTTTCCGGCTTCGAGCTGAATCATATATTATCTAATAGATATCCACTTAGATATCCCTCATTTAATCGTTGAAATCTCTACCGCAATATTACAGCAAGTATTTTAAAGCGGAAGTGTCAGCAAGATGAAATCATTTATCTTGCTGACTCTTCTGATTACCCCTATGAGAAATCATAATGTCTAACTTGGCATCCTTTGTTCTCTACCAGTCTAGAGGATAAAAGTCCTTAATTTGACAATTAATTCTGTGAAAACGTTTTAGCAAAATCGCGGACTTGAAATCGATAGGTTTAATTTGTTAACGAATGAACAGTAAATTGTTTTAAAAAAAAGTATAATATTAAGAAAAAACTACATATTTTTTAGATAAAGTACTATGAAGCTACAGTTAAAATATCAAGTGGATACGAAAGATAGTTTCCAGTGACCTTTGATGCTCGCGATTTAAAAAAATGTTGCTTCGAGAAAAACGCACGAAAGTCTTTGTATGGGAAACTCTGTTATTTGATGTAATATATTCACGAAATTTGGCATGAGTTATTTTCTAAGGCAGCAATGTAATCTCCGAAGAAATGGTACAGATCGGGTGACTATAACATATAGCTGCCATATTAACTCAACGATCGGAGTAAAGTGCCTGCATGGAAAACTTGTTTATTTGACGAGGCATCTTCACGAAATTAGATCGGAATCAAATTATTGTAAGGCACCTTTGTATCTGTGAAGGCTATTATAGCTTCGGTGCAAGCGAAGTTAACATTTCTTTTTCTTAAGTATTGAAGTTGACTGGCACGAACTCTTTGATACTAGCGTAGATGGGCATTGACTTTTTTTTACGGTATAATAATAATTGAATAATGTTGTTTGGACATTAATGTGTATTTTAAGCACAAAAAAATTTTTTTTATTTTTGAGAATTGTAGACGGATGTTAACCAATACCTTTAAATCGATCAGAAGTAATAATTTTATGGACAAATTTATAAAACATTTAAGTAGCGACAATAGTGTTTTTTGCATATAAGCCTGGTGAACATTGCCGTGTTCAATGCCTTTTCTCGAAAAAATTTAGTTTCTTTCTAAATCTTCGAAATTCACTGGAATTGAGTATGCTTTCATAATATGAAAGAGGTGTCCGTAGTAACCATTGTTAAAAAATTAACACTACAAATTCTGTAGATTTGTACTTGTACTTATATATTTACTTAGGTATATATATTTTTAAGGCAACTGAAATTACTACATTTTTACTACAAAACAAAATCTTTATTTTTTCTTAGTAGAGAAAGCATATTTCCACACATCAATATTTTTTTGTGATAAAGCTACCAAAAACAAATAACTAGAACCTGCAAAATCATCTACTTGAAGTTAGTCAGCTTTAGAAACAGTGAAAATGTTATTTCACTATGAAAATTTAAAAAAAAATTCTTGTCAACTTTTTTATGGACGCAATGCAAATAACACATTTTTGTAAATCAAAAATATCTGCTGAGCAATATTTTGAGAGAGTTCCGCTTATTTTGCGCTACCGCTTACTACCAGTCCACTAAAAGATTCTAATTAAAAGTTAAAACTATTTTCTAAATTTATATTAATATTTGAAATTTCTATTACTGTAGAGTGTCGACAGGGCGTATGGGTGACATTTTTTTGTTTAACTTAAAATACTAAGCGTTTAAAGCTCCTCTACAATTCGAAACACATTGTCTTATCGAAGCCAGCTAACTACCAACTAAAAGTCAAGCTAATAAAAATAATGCTAATAAATAAATAAACCAAATACACGTAACACCCAACACCGGAAAGCATTGATTAATCAATTGCGATGTGGTATGGGCATAAAGCTCATGCCACCCTAAACTACACCGCAACAAAGCGCAAAGCTTACACTCAATTGGGTTGAATTTTCACTCAAGTGAGGCGCATGCGGTCGACACCACACATAATACACATTCCTTAGCATGTCCTGCGCTATCAACGCACCGCCGTGCCATAACGAATGGGGCATGCAACGGAATTCAGTATCCGCGAAACATTCAATATAAACGGTACAAACGGCAACCGACGAGCTAGTTGCGCGCGCGTCAGCACTGCTTTCATGCTGGCCACAACACAGCCTATATACAAGTAAAAGAAAGAATATAAAATGAAATAACAACAACAAGAAAAAAAAGCAAAAATGTGACAAGTGTATAAGAAATTTTGTGTATGTGTACGAAACGCGTGTGTATGAGTATTTGTGTGCTGATATAAATATGTGCATGCATAAAAGGAAGCAATGAAAATATGAAGGCAAACAAATGTACAACAACAACAACGTAACTATGAAAGCGAATAAGGCAAAAAAAGGAGCTGAAAACGAAATTTTTGATGCTCGCTTTATATTGCTGTGCTGATATATGTATACATATATACAGATATAATATTAAATGGATTATACTTGTATATAGACATATGTATATTTAAATATAATCTTTTAGTAAGCAGTGTATTGAAAATGTTTATGCTAAAAGCAGCAGCAACTCTATACACACCTTTAAATTTTTATGTTAGCTCAATGAGTGTGTGTGCATTAATTTTATTGTGCCAACATTGCATTAATCAGCTGGGGAGAAATGCTATGCCTTTGACTGTGTGCATACAGATATACATATATGTATGTATAAGTTTGTATATAATTACAGGTGTAACTGAAACGCTTGTGCCACATACACGCTCATCAGACATGGCGGCGGACAGACGCATAAAAGGAGTGTATGTAAGAGAGTAGAATAAGGAGAGGAAGCATG